CTGCCAGTGATGCCAGCCAGGAGGGAGGATGTGGCAATCTGGGCAGGAATGACTTGAAAAGAGTGGTTAACTAGAGCGGGAACTGGGCCGTCCCCTCGGGTATGGGGGGGGGCTGCTTTTGCTTTGGTGACAGGATGAGCAGCAGTTTGTGCTCTACCCTAGATTCACCACCACCAGCCGCCTAGCTGAAAGCAGCATCCCTCGGGGGCTGAGGGTTGGTTCTAAGGAGGGTGAGCCCTGCACCTCTATGCTGATCAGGGTTCTGTGGGTGGCCATCGGGAGGACATGTCACCTCCTCTGGGTAATGCTGGAGCCCAGGGTTGTGCTATGGTTTCCTGGAGCAAGCAGCAAACCCGCCCAACCCCCACTCCACCTGTCCAACCTATGCCCTGGGAGCCTCTCAGATCTGGGCCGCTGTCATTGGTAGTGGCCTCAGTGCCTCCTGCTGAAGGAAATGGTGTTTGAAGCCAGACCCTGAGCAGAAGATCTACTTACCAGATCCTAGACTTGATGGACCAGACTAAGAACAGCTGACCCAGGCCTTGCGGCTGTGAGGCTCTAGCTGGGGCAGTGGGCAACCAGACTTGTTCTGACTAAGGAGCTGAGATTGGAACTGCTGCCTAGGATTGGAGCCCTGTTGGGGACCATAAAGCAGTCTATTTGACATCAAGACAATGTTTCTCTGTGTAGCCCTGGCTGTCCTGGAACTCGATCTGTAGACTAGGCTGGCCTTTAACTCAGAAATCATCCTGCCTCTGCCTCCCAAATGCAGGGACTAAAGGTGTGTCCTACCGCACCTAGCAGGCTATCTCTCTTTTTGATTGTGAGTCCAAACTGAAGAAATTGGATGCAAATTACAGTGGTTCTCTGGGGCCAAAGGAAAGAATTGGTTTTACTGTCATGGTTTCCCGGATATGGATTGAGACTTTTCTCTCTGTGTGTGTAAGCATGAATGCATGCATGGGAGCCCAATGACACACTTGGGCTGTGCCGGGATTAAAGGCATGTGCCACCAACACCCGGATTTTTTTGTTTTTTTGGGTTTTTGTTTGTTTGTTTGTTTTGAGACATGGTTTCTCTGAGTGGCCCTGGCTGCCCTGGAACTTGCCCTACAGACCAGGCTGGCCTCTGCCTCCTAAGTGCTGGGATTAAAACCTGGGATTACCAGGCCAGGCTTCCCTGCCCTACTTTTAAAAAGTTGTTTTTGAGCCAGCGTCTCACTATGCAGCCCTTAACTTCTTGAAACTCACAACATAGACTGGAAAGAGATCTACCTCTCTCTGCGTCCTGAATATGGGGTTCAGCTGTTTGCCATTAGGTCTGCCTGACCCTTTTAAGACAGGTTTTGTTGGTTAGGCTTGCTAACCAGTGAGCTCCAGGAGCTTGGGTGTCTCTGCCTCCCTAGAGCTGGGATTACAAGCGTATACCACCATGTGTGGTGTCTGGGGATCAAACTCAAGGCAAGTACTTTATACTGAGCCATCTTGTAAGATAAGGTCTTGTTCTATAGCCCAGCTGGCCTTGAACTCCTGACCCTTGTAACTCAGCCTCTCAAGTCCTGAATTACAGGAGTGTGTCACCATGCCTGGCTTTGTCTGAATCTTCTACAGTGAGAATTAAGTGTCTCTATCCCTGGTACAAGTCTGTAAGTTTTCAAAGACTCCACTTACCTGGATAGGAGGTAGTGCTGCCCTGAGCTCAGGTGACGATACCCCGGGGCATCAGTGACATCAAGACAGATATGAAATGGTGGCTTGGCTTTGGAGTCCACTTTAAAGTTGCCGACCCTGTTTGTGTGTGTGTCCACCATTCTCAGTGACCGGGGGAGAGAGCATGTGACTGTCATAGGTGGTCATTCCCTCATCTACCCTTCCCCATGGAAAGCAATGTCAGGATTTTTTCCCTTTTATCAGAGATCATAACTCTCTTGACAAAAGAACAGAGTGCAGGAATCCCAGATCACTCATGGAGGCTGCATATAGGTGTTGTCCAGTGGCAGCATCTTCTTAGAGCCCGCCATAGAGTGGCAGCACCGTGACGGGGAAGTTGTTTGCCTTACAAATGTTTAGACTAAAAGGGGGCTCCCCACATAGCGAAGGGTTCATTGTCCATGGGACTTGAGGCACCCCAGGCTTTCCCTTTCTTGGAGCTGAGTTGGGTGGGCAGGAGTGGAGACGGGCTTCTACTGTGTATGTGTGTACCTAGGGGTGTGCTCCCACCATTCTTTGCTGCCATAGCTCGTCTCCTTGCTCCCCATTTCACCTTCTTGCCTGGCTGGGCACCCTCTTTCTTGTCTAAGTTAGCAAATGTCCCTCTTCGATGTCCACAATACCAGCTGTCGGTCTGCCTTCATTATGTGAGGAGTGGCCTTGTTGCTTCTTTCCCTTGGGCGTCTTTCATGATGTATGTTTCCTTGTCCTTTTCCCGGGGGGTTTAAGGGATGCTTGCAATCCTGTGAGATGGGGTGAGATATGACGAGAAAGGTGGCTGGTTGCATGCAGCCATCTTCCATGGGGGCACATCCGTCAGCGTTGCTGGTCAGCCCTGGATGAGGCTGTGGAGTGGACTCCCATTTCATGGTGTCCTGACAGGCAGACCTCTCCAGCCGTTTGAGTTTTGTGTGTAGCCACTGCTCAGCAGCTGCTCTGTGGGTTAGAATGAGAAAACAGGTGTGAGAGGTCATTCCAGAGGGTCACTTCTGTGCTGCCCCCCCCCCAGACCACTAAATGTCACAGAAATGCCTATTGCTATCCCCGGGACACTGGCTGGATCCCCTCTCCCCACTAAGGGGTGGTCAGGCAACCCTCTGTGCCCTGAGGGGGATCCATGAGTCAGCCCCCTAGGCACAGTCCTAAGAGGAGCAGTACGCTCAGAGCTTCATAGAGCCAGCAGCCTTGGTTCTGCCATGCTGCCCTGGATCTGGACTGGCTCGATGTGGCTGTGCAAGTGGAAGCAGCCTGCACCAAGTGGTCTCCATAAAACATGCTATGCAAAAAACAAAAACAAAAAACACATGCTATGCACAGTGTGGCGCTGAGGTGAAACAGGAAGGAGTAAGCAGGGGTCTTGCAAGGATCGGGAGACAGACAGATGGCCAGACAGCTGCTTTCCTTTGCCTTTCAGTTACTCCATGTTGCCAGGAAGCTTCTGGGGCAGAGGATGTTCGACAGACTAATGAAGATGACCTTCTATGGTCATTTTGTGGCTGGCGAGGACCAGGAGTCTATCAGGCCTCTGATCCGGCACAACAAAGCCTTTGGTGTTGGCTCCATCCTGGACTATGGAATGGAGGAAGATATGAGCCCTGAGGAGGCGGAGCGCAAGGAGATGGAGTAAGGCCTGCCTTTCCGGTGATGCAAGGCACAGTGTCACCCTGAAATGCACCAGGCTGCTAGGTTTCAGCCTTAGCTAGGTGGTGGACAAGACGGGGAAAGCCTTTGGCCTGATTGCCGGCAGCCCTCCTGAGTTGTGCCTAGAGTTCTGGTTTCCCGCAGACAAGAGCGCTGTGCTTTGTGGGCCTGTACTAGAGGAGGGCTGAGCAACACATCTGCAAACTATGGCCTGTGGCCATGTTCAGCTCATCACATAGTCCTGAGGCTGCAGTTTTTACATTTTGAGTTGTTGAACTATAGTTTGTGATACAAAAACTATATAAAATTCAAACTGCCTTTGTGTTTGCAAGGGCACAGTGGTGTAAGTTTGTGGCCGCTAAGGCTGAGACAGAAACATTGGGTGGTGCCTCTGCTTCCTACCCTGCTACAACCTCTCTTTCCAAGGATTCCTGACTGGCTGACTGGACCTGCAGGTTCCAACTAGTCCTCAAATAGTTTCCTAATCTGCAGATGGCTGTGCCTGCAGGGTGTAGAACTTTGCAGACTGGGCCTAGCCAGTCACAATTGTAGCAGGCTGCAGTGTAGTGTGATAGGCAGCCTAGAGTCTCCTGCTGGCACCAACTTGCTGCAGGGCCTTTCCCCAGCCAGGAGTAGAAAGCACAGCTCACAGACTGCCCTCTTCTCTTGGTAGCAGGGTAGAATGGTCTTATTCTGCCCCTTAGGGTGGCAGCTGACTCACTGGAGGCCTGGGCAAAATCAGCTTTCTCTTTGCAAGTGCTCCTGCCTGTGACCCTCCCTGACAGGCCCTTGCTGGGTTTTGGTTTCCGAGTTGCTGGCTGTGACCATAGGCCAGGCCCTGTCAGGCCTTTGACTTTACCCTGCTCCTCCTCCTAGGTGGCTAACAGGAGGGGTTGAGGAAAGGCAGTCATGTGAGGCTGTTGGCCCAGAGAACAGAATGTCCAGAGTCTGGCCTCAGTCTGGGAGCCCAGCCCCTGCCTTGTGATTGGCCATTCTGAAGGCGGGGTGACCCAGCCCCAGCATCCCCTGTGAACCTCGCTGATGCCTGGGGATTTGGCTGTGGGCCTTTACCAAGGCTGCTGTTGAATAACCAAATAGATTCCACAGCCTCAGCCTAGATAGGGTGAGCACTGAGTGGGGTCTTGCTATGCGATTGGGTGGCATGCCTGCCCGCCCTGCCTGTCTGCAGGATCTACTCTTGTCTGTGCCTGTCCGTTGGCTGCTCAGCTCGTCACGGCTGCTTATGCCACAGAAGCTCTGCTCGGGCTCCGGGACATCAGAAATAGACCTCTCCTTACCTAACGATGCCCTCCCTCCAATGCCAACAGCAAGTAGTGAGGATGCGGGCCCAGCCCTGCTGCTGGCGTCTCTGCCTTCAAAGGACTGCCTGCCTTTGACGATAAGAGGGAGAAATATCACTCTGACAATGTTCTGAGTCTGTGATGGGGACGCTGGCAATTCTCACCTGCCCCCTCCCCGAAGGGAAAAGAACTTACAGGGCCCACTGGTTGCACCTGATGGAGTGAGCTGCCCCACAGGCCCAGAGACTGAGGCCTGCCCCTAGCTAGTGGAAGAAGGCACAGAAAGCATGGAGACTAAACTGTCTAAATTTTGGGCTGTGGGGCTCTACAACTAACATTCTTTCTCATCAGAGTCATTGAGGAGGCCAAGTCTCCTTCCTTAACAGGGTTTCTGCTCAAGGAATCACTGAACCTGCCTCCACACTGATAGCCCTCAGGGGACTTTTGTCTGTCTGTACCTGAGACTGCTCTTATGGGACCCATATCCTCCAGGGACTTTGGCTGTTTCTGAGGGCAGGTGACAAATGAGGTCTGTCTGCCTCCTCATTACAGCCTCAGAACATTGTTACCAAATGACTTTTCACCCTCTTTTATTCTTACATATTGTCTGCATGAGTTAGGTGGAGCAGTAGCAGCCTGCCTAGCTCCTGTTCCCTGGGCTGTGGCCTTGTGGGCTGAGCTGCTTGTAGGGAGCCCCAGTCACCCAAGGATATGGCCTGCCCCCCATAGTTTCTGGGTCAAAGTCTCTAGATAAGGGCGCTGGGACAGGAGCTTCTCATCATATTGTTTGGTGGCCCAGGTTTGCTTTAAGAGTAGTGAGGTTCCTAGATGGGTAAGGCTCATTGACTGTAAGACCTGAAAGGTGCTGTCGCCTGTCTCTGCTCCTTGCCATGAAGAATGCTAGGAAGAAGCAGTGCTCTGCCCTATGACTGCCTCAGGACCCTGCCCTGTGGAGGACTTGATGTCTCCGAGTATGATGGGGTTTTCAATGAGGTGATATTAAGGTCTCATTTTCATCTTCTAAGGAAATTTCTGGTTGCTATTTGGAAAATAAGCCTAAGAGTCTTAGCAGGGGCTGGGGCATCAGGTGGGAGTAGCCAGGGTGTACAGGACTCTGTCCTGGAGACCACAGATGTTAGGGGTGCAGGCCAGAGCAAGGGGGCATTGTTGCTGGATTGTACGGGGTGGCTTCTGCCCCTCTTCCTCTCCTTGCCTGACCTCATCAGTAAGGAAGGCTCAACCCACAGGAAGCCTGGGTGTCCTCTCCCTGGCCCAGCTGATCATGACAGACCCGAGGAAGGACTGGGTTAACTCAAGTTGGTCTGTTTCCTTGAACCAGCCTTCTGTCAGGTTCACTGTCTGGTTCAAGGCTCAGCTGCCTCCTGGTGACCTGACCTTTGCCTCCTCTGTCCTGCAGGTCGTGCACCTCTGAAGCAGAGAGAGACAGCAGTGGTGAGTTTAGGGATAGGTACTCTCCTCCCACCAGCACAGTCTGGTGGCCATGGAGATACCTGGGCTTTGGGCCTGGGCCAACCTTTGGGCAGGGGACAAGGCCAGAGACTGCCTCCTATGGTAGGGCTATGGTTCTGGCTTTGTGTACCTGACCTACCTGAGAGTTCCTGATGAGACACAGGCTCCTTGTATTTTTAACAGCTCTTCCAAGAAGGCTCAGTCTCCTTGGCCTTCAGTAGGCTGCAGTCCCAAGCCTTTGCAATGACTGCTCTACTTTCCTGGCCTGATTTGCTGTGTTGTAAGGTTTAGCCAGGGGGATCCAAGTGGGAAGGGCAGGCAGGGCTATCAGGAGGGCAGCTTCAGGGTGCAGCAAGGCCTATTTGGAGCCCATCTAGAAGGTTGTAGCTCTGGGATGTTGGCTTACGCTGGGATGGGCTCTGAACTAGGCTGGTATCTCTAATGAGGCCATGTATCTACTTTCCCAGGCACAAATAAGAGGGAGAAGCAATATCAGGTCCACCCTGCCTTTGGAGACCGCAGAGATGGTGTCATCAGTGCCCGCACCTACTTCTATGCCAATGAAGCCAAATGTGACAACTATATGGAGAATTTACTCAAGTGCATTGAGGCCTCAGGTGGGTCCCCTGCTTTGCTAGCTCCGAGGGCTGGAGTGAAGGGCTGTGCTCAGATCTTCAGCTCCTTCTGAACGGTCCTGACAGCTGGGGGCACCTCCTAACAAGCCCATGCTCCCCTGCATGTCCCTGCCCTGGGCCTGTGCCTGTATGTGGTGTCCTCATAACTGACTTAGGAGTCCCCACCCCTCAAGTGAGTTGTCAGTTCTGGGAGCTGACAACATATCTTCTATGACTGGCAACTCCTCCTTGTTATAAGAGAATTGCAGATGGGAAGGCCAATTAAGCCATAATGCCATTGAGCCCTAGGGTCCCAGTGGTCCTGCAGGTGTGGTGGTGGGTCTCACACCTTTAAATGCATTGCACTTACTTCTTGGGGTGTAATACCAGTAAGCAGTTGCCTCATGGACCAGGATGGTCTCTGTAATCATTGCACTCTGGCCTCTTGGTGCCTTGACTGTTGTCCCTGGGGTTGTGTGCCCCAGCCCCTACTCTACTTGGCATTTCTGTGCTCTGTGGCCCATATGTGGATGGCCTATAGGGCTGAGGGCATTAGGAAAAAACTGGGCCAAGGAGGCCACCAGCAATGTACAAACCTCTCTGGCTTCTTTGTCTGCTGTCTTCTTGCAGTACAAAGGTTGTTTCATCAGCCCTCCCCATCTCTGTAGCAGGGCCCTTGGAGAGTAGCCATGTGTAAGGGCATTTAGGGGACTGGGTATCACTATGGGTAGGAACTGGCTACAGGGCTGGTTTTAACTATCAGGGAGCTGCAAGATGCATCTGGTCCCTCTGACCCAGACATTCATCATCTTGGAGACACTCATGGTTCTTCCTTTTGCTTCGGACAGGTGGAGCCAGTGACGGTGGTTTCTCAGCCATTAAGCTCACTGCACTGGGGAGACCACAGTTTCTGGTAAGTGGTGGCACCTTTGACCTGCAGGGGCTTTGAGACCCTGGGGCTACTGTGTGCACTGAGAGGCTTCAGATGTGCTCAGATTGGTGGCTGTGCTCTGGGGCTACAGTGGTGGCCCCAGAGCTGGATGGAGGAGCAGGGCACATGCTGCAGCGGGGCTCACACCTACACTGGCAGCTGCAGTTCTCAGACGTGCTGACCAGGTGGAGACGGTTCTTTCATCAAATGGCCGCAGAGCAGGGACAGGCTGGGCGTGCTGCTGTAGACACAAAGCTGGAGGTGGTGGTGCTCCAGGTAAGCAGCCTCCCCTTCCTTCCCCAGGCACTGTGCAGTGTCTAAGGTGGGGTCTTGCAGCTGTTTAGAGGTATAGTTGGGGCAGCAGGGAGGAGGGAAAGAAGGAGGGGAAACTGAACTCTGGGCAGCTCCACTGTCTACAGAGTATGGTTGGGAGGGTAGGGAGTTGGCTCAGAGCAGATAGCTGATGTGGGAAAGGTACCACGGCCAGCTGGGAATGGAAATGCTGGCCTGAGATGAGTGCTGCTGTCACAGGCGATGTGACACTGTCAGATAGACTCATGGTGGGGATGAGGCTTAACAGATGGCGAGAGGAGGCAGTACTGACTCTGCCTTCTCAATTCCTAAGGAAAGCATCGCAAAGATGGGCATCGCGTCCAGGGCTGAAATCGAGGGTTGGTTCACACTGGAGACGCTGGGAGTGTCTGGGTAAGAGCTGCCCTGGCATAGTCATGGTCTCAGCTGAGCCCCAGTGGCTTCTATTCCTGGTCACCTTCTGGGAAGGGATGAGCCATGGGAATGATAGTGTCTAGGGAACTGCTTCCTGGGATTACTGAACAGGAGTTGATGGTGAGCAGGAGTCCCTGGGGAGAGGCAGCATGGGCACAAGACTTAGAAAACAACCTGGTCCCAGAGCATATTCCTAAGAGCCACACTGGCAGGTGAAGTCAGAACCCAATGGCCTATCCTTAGGGACAGAGGCTAGGATTAATGTCACTAGGGGCCTCTAGCAAAGTCAGAGCGCTGGCTTGAGGTAGAGCTGCTGGATATCAGGTAGCCCTTGCTTATTAGCTTTTCCATGCTCCTGAAGTGGTGTCTACATTCTGCCTAGCCTTCATTTCTGGCTCTTCCTTAAGCCTGACCTGGCCATGGAATTCTCTGTATACTTTGTGTTTTTATTGCTACTGATGTATTGCAAAAATGGTCATGCTTTGGTTTTAATTTTTTTAAATTGGGAGCAGTATTCAGTTTTTTAAAGTCAAACACTGGGGTAGGTTTTGTGAAAGCTAAATTTGGAAGAAGTCTTCAGGAATGGGCTGGTGTGTGTCAGACCCCCAAACAAACCTAGTACCTAGGGTTAAGCCAGGTTGGACCTAGAATTCCTGGCTGCCCGCTCTGCTGATGCTCTCACCCCTCAGCACTGTGGACTTGCTGGACTGGAACAGCCTCATTGACAGCAGGACCCAGCTCTCCAGGCACCTGGTGGTCCCCAATGTGCAGGTAAACCCCCCCCACACCAATTCCATGTGTCTGCCTACCCAGGGGACTATTGTGACTGACTCTTTCTGACCCCACCACAAAGACAAACCCAGTGTCCACAGTGCTCAGTGGGACAGGGGCCCACAAGGAGAGGATGGGTGCCTTGAGAAAAGGGCTTTCTTACCACACCTAGTCTTGTGTGTTGGGTCACCACAAGCCTTTCCGGCTAAACAGGGTCCAACTGGTTAGCTCTCATCTGGGGTCTCCTGATCACTTATACTCAGAGGGTGACAGGGCCAGGTGGTCACAGAGGTGCCCTGCTCAGTGTGGAAGGTGATGCTGTCATCTGGGCTTTCTTCCAAACATGGTGGCTAGGTTCCCAGGGTGAGTGTCCCGAGATGAAGGCCAGGCAGAAGCTGCATTGACTTTTGAAGTCTGACCTTAGAAGTCACACCAAGTTCAGTTTGGCAAAGTGAATTGCTAGTGTGGCCTGTATTCAGGGGGAAGGGGAACTCCACCTTCTCTGGGTTTTGAAGAAGGAACAGCAGTAGCAACTGAGGAACATGCCCTGCAGATGTTTCTTCTGTGGTGTTCCCAGCCTACCCCAAACTTTGAGCCCTGTCTTGGAACCTCAGGGTACAGTGTGTTCATGAAGTCTCCGCTCCAAGGTCACTGACAGACTTTGGCACATGGTGTTTGTGCTCAGTGGAGGCAGGCTGCTGGGATTCCTGAAAGGATGGCTCATTAGCATTGCAGGAGCATCCTGGACCGTGGCTGCGGGAGGAGGGGCAGACCTCTGTGCTGTATGGAGTTTCTGGGTGCACCCTGCCAGTTCTCATCACCAGTCCACCGCTGGCT